TATCCATGTTTTATCCAGTATTAGCAAGATAGCAAGTGTTAAACTTGCCAGATCTACAGAATTTATCCTGTTCTCTGAAACCCTAATATCCACACATGCGTTTTTACTTTTAGTTCCCCTTACAAAGGGACTTCTTAACTGTCCATTTGCATTTACTGCTATGAACTTTTTTTTTTTAATAGCCACTACGTCTTTTAAAAAATCTGCAATGCCTTCTATACATCCATTCCCCAATTAATGCCCTCCCCCCTTTTTTGGAAACCCTGTTCCTATGGAGTTTGCCTATGCACTGTGCTTCTCTGCTGCTCAGCACAGTGAGGTCTGTGCACCCCACACCTAAAGCTCCAGCAGCCAGTAGGGAGGCTTCGATGGACGCTCAGGGACAATGGAAGTCTCAATGGGATCCTATAATTTCTAAACAAGATAGTTTTCCTTCATGCAAAGCAAATGAAATCAAACATCTTATAATCCCAGAGAATACTGCCTAATGAAAATATTGAAAACATTTTATAGCATTTTTTATTTTACCATTGAAACAGTTATTGATAACCTATTTTATCCATTGTGCAGTAGATATTTTAGAAATGAATTGCTGTATGGTTTAATTAGTTCATTATTATGCCTATTCTTACATGGTAATTTCTTTTATCATTCTAATCATTCACTTCACACTTTTTAAACCAAATGGAATATCAAAGGTTCTGTAGGATTATTTTTGGATCCTGCACATGTTTCACCACACAATTAATCTGTTTGTCAGAAATACTAGTTAACTTCTTCTCGATGCCACTTTCCTTTACCAGCTATTTTTCTCTATTCTATACGATGAAATTGTCCTATCCTTTAAGAGGACAGATGCTTTTGTCTCCGTGTATTAAATATTTTTCAATTGTACATGAGGTATTACAATAAAATAGTTTAATTTTTATAAAGTTTTGTAATTGAATATTCTCATTTATTTATATCTCATCCACAACATTTATTTAGTCTTTTTACATGTCTTTACTTAGTTAAAATGCAGAGAGATAAATACAGTTGTTCCTTTGCAGGGAAGATTCAGTACATTAATATAAACTGTACGCTAATTCCCCCAAAGCATATATATATATGTTGTAAAACTGAAGACTTTTTACACAGCTGCTTATTGCTAAACAGTGCCTTGTCCAGAAGGGGACAATCTGTGTCTCTAATTGCTGTCACTGAAGCTGAGATTCATTATGTGACTTTCCCATTAAAATGTGAGCATTAATTTGTATAATGAAATATCACCCACTGCAGTGTTCATTAGCCATGCCCTACTGTATACTGCACATTGTTAGCTACCTAGAAACTGTAGTTAATTTCACTAATGGATATTTCCCTACTTAGTGTTTGGTAGGAAATTTATACTGTAACATTACCTCTTAAACTTTTAAGGAAATTTAAATTCAATCAATTATTTTCAACAAAAGTTTGGGATGTCATTAAGACAGGAGAAAAGGCATGCTGTACAGCGTTAAAGATGGGAAATCTGGAGAAATCTAGAGAAATGAAAAGTCCTTTTAGTTCATCTTAGAAATGTAAGAATAAAGGATGTTCAATACCAAAATTGTCTCCTCTTGGAGCACACATACCCATTTTCCTTAATTATTCATATTGCTCATCCCACTACAAGCGCCTTCAGAGAATGGCAACAGGCAGTCTTTTTTTAGGAAGAAAATGTGAATTGAATTCATTTAAAACAGCACCATTTTTATCGTAGTTCATCAATTTTTCTAAGCACGCTTTAAAATTGGCCAATCACATTTCCAAGGGAAAATGCAGTTAACACCACAAATGTACTTAATACATGCGAGATACATGTGACACATATCAAAACATACTCTCCGTTAATTGACGCAGCCTGGCTAAGCTTCTTCCTATTCTACCTTAGGGTTCTTTGGTATCACACAATTTAAACCTTCTTCAGGGCTATACTTGACTCATGGAAAGTGTTTTCATTACACAAGAGATTTAATTGTGCCAGTCACTCTGGGAATATACCTGAGCACCTAATGATCACAAGAATTCCAAGTGGACTACATCTGCAGCGGTTCCACAGTGCTAATGCAAGACACAAAGAGGTGCTAGAGCTAATCTGGGGACTGGTCCTCTCATCATGTGTTGCTTGCCAAAAGCAGAACATACGGAATTGTAACTTTTAAAACACTTAAAAACTGTTTCTATGCTCTCCCAAGTTTTAGGTATGTAAAGTGAAAAACATGCACGACTCATTGGTTTTGGTGTGAACTCAGAGCACTAAGGAGCATACAGAGATGCTCAGCCCCTTGAATGGTGGCACTCTAATCTGCTGCCTGCAGAGAGCAAAAGTAGTACAGAAAGTCCTACAATCATAGGTTGGGACTCCACTGAGTTTTTGGTGACTGCTTTGCGTTGCTTTGGTTTTGAGAAGGTTATTCGATAGCAAACTACACAGACACTGAGATGCAGTGCTGAGAAGGTTGGAACCATGCAGCATAAAAACAAACAAAAAAAACAAACAAGAAACAACCCAAGTCACCAGCCAATGCTTTTAAAACAGAGCATAGCACCCTCTGCTCGTGAAGGATTAAACAGTTTCTCTAGCTTTTTCGGGCCAATTGCCACAGAGGCACCTCCTGGCTGGATCAGACTTCAGGTCTTTTCTTGGCATGCGTACCAAACCAACCTACTCATGTGCCTCCAAACACACAGATGTTCGAAGGAACCTGACTTCTGCTGAACTGCTTGAGCTCCTCTCTAACAAACAGGTGCTGTGAGAACAAGAACAGTAATTGAGTTAATGTAGTGGAGAAACACAGTAAAGTGTTTTTTATCAGTCAGTTATATGATCCAGGCATATAATAAAGACAGAGTATGACATAAAAAGCAGGAAACTGTCCCTGGTAGTGTGAGCTAACCAATATTTGTTTAATAACTGATATCTATTACATCATTTCCATTTAGAGCGATGCAACTTAATTTTTATTTAATAACTCTAGTAATTTGCCAATTTACATTTTTATAATATTTATTATGATTACTTCCAATATGTAAAACATTGCTCCATTTCAACATATTCTTGTCATTATTTACAAATACTTTGTTCTCAACCTAATGGAAATTGATCTTTATCTATTTTAAAATTATAATGCCTTTTAAATATATTGCAAATATTGTTTTAATATTCTGTATGATGTTTTTTTTTTATGTGATACTTTACATGCTTTAGTTCTTCTTGTTTTAATTTTGATTATTAAGTTTTAATATAAAATTTTAAGGAGTATTTCCATCACAATTAATTCACTTTCCATTAGTTCTAAGCCACAAACACCAAACACATGATCATTGCCACCTCCAAAACAACAACAAAATGACCTCTACATAATAAGATAAAGAGATGGGTATCCTCAGGTTATTTTAAAGAATTTTCCTTTGCTTCTCCATTAGTAAAATTGTTAAATTGTTTAAAGCTCATAGTTATAGGATTATTCCCCAATAAAATAACTGGCTTTATTTTTGCAGTGCTGGTGAACACATGCATAGAGTTTGTACTGCATTAAATTTTTCCTACCAAGTCCAAGACATAGAAAAGCCCTATTCCTGCCCTAAACAGACTGCAATCCAAACAGAGACTACAGTTTAAAAAATATCTAGTAATAATAAATCTCGATTGCAAAAATCAGGTAAAAACATTGTGGTCAACTCCTACTCCAAAGAGAAAAATAAAACGAAGAAACTTTTTCATTTCATCAGTGAAATGTTTTCCTTCAAATAAATTTCAGCCTTCTTTGTCATTTTTTCAAACTCAGGCTTTATATTCACAAAACCAATACTCAGCTTTACACCTGTGCAAGCACATAAGAGAAATGTGATTGCTGCTTTTGAGAAGGGAGGCCAATACTTCTTATCTTCTATCTCCATGAAATAAAAAATTACAGTGACATTTTTCACATGAGAGGTACAACTGGAAAGTATTTATTCATGCAATTTATTTTACCTATTGATCAGAAAAGTAGCAGGAACACCCTGAAATCTCTTTAAAATGCAGTAAAAGTAAAATGACTGCACATCTGCAGTGCCCACTGTGCCTGCCCACAACATGTCCTAAATCTCCAGCTTTGCACGCTCCCTGAAGCTCTACTGCAACATCTGGGAATTGGAAGAAAACAGCATCAGATTGACCATATGAAATGACATCAACAGGATCTGAGGATACTAATATTCTATAATTGATTTTAAATACAGATATAATAGCACTTCTTAAATCTATAGTGCGTCTCCAAGTGAACTCTGCCAAACACATATATACTTCTAAGCAAACGTAGTATTATAATTAAAATAGTGTGGTTGTATTTTTCTAGAATCTAGAGCAGTGATGCCCAAAAACAAAGAAAGAATCTAGACCAGTAGTAAGTCTCCGTAGGGTAGAAAATCTGGTTTTGTTATTAAAATAAAACATAGAAATCTGTTCTATCGTGCTGCAAATCTCAGTAAGTTTTATTACAGACAAGTAGTAAGTTGAGTGAGTTCTAATGCAGAAAGAAAAAAAAAGCAGATCCATGAAGCTGATGTATTCATAGGAACAGTGAGAGGTTAAAAATGAGCATGTTAAATGGAACAAAAATAGTAACTGAGCAAAACATACAGAATCCCTAAGTAGATGCTAAGGAAGGCCTTTGAAGCAGTTAGTATAACTAAGTCTGAAACCAATAGGCTTATGCCTATTGAAGGACAAGGGTAATTGAAGGAAACAGTGATGAAGCAGGGAAGGAGACAGAAATAACCTCAACTGGGAAAAGACGATTCTATTAAAGTGGTCTTTATCCAACAACACATTCCTTGTGCTTTTATTTAAGACTGTCATATGTCTTTCTCAAAAGACTCTCTCCAGCTAATGAATCCAAATCTACCCTGGGAATTCAGGCTCCTCGCCGCACGTATGTAAACCCCCCCACACATCGCATGAGCAGACAGCGCTCCGCTCCTGTTGTTCCTCTCACCTGTATGTATTCTCAAGTGGACCTTTAAGTGATGTGATGTTCTGAATGTTTTTCCACAATATGGGCAGTCTTTCATGGCAGAACCAAGGCTCCTGTCTCTCAGTAAAGCTGGCTGCTGGACTCCTACAGATCTCCCAGCTTCTTCTCCAATGTCTGCAACACAGAAATGATCTCACATCACTTCAGCACATGTCAGAAGTTTTCTCACTAAAACTGCTAACACAACACAAAGTTAAACATGCCAGTACTACACCTGTCTATTTCATTCTTTAAATCTGACAGAATGCTGACAATTCATGTATTTTCTTGTTATTCTCTTAAATTATTTCATCTTTCCTATCATCATTTTAAGCAGCATATGGTACCTTTATATTGAGCTGAATTATACAAGAAAAGAAACAGCTGCGTCAGCAGCTGGTTTGATTTCTTCTTTTGCTTAGTTCCTATTAATTTTTCCCCAAAAGTTTTAAATTGTTGTTTTGTTGAGTCTATTTAATTTGTAAGTATTGTAAAAATATGCGTGATTTTAGAGGGAAAAAGTTTGCATAAGCATGTTGAAACCTCCCATAAAAATGGAATCACAGGGATAGGCAGACCAACAGAAATGGCAATGCCTACAGGCAAAGCTAATGAACTTTCTTCTGCAACGCTCCAGCACTAGAGAAACAACGTGTGACCTGGTGAGTGACCTCATATTAAGGGAAAGCTGATGGAAAATCCGGTCGGATGAGAGGGGACTCCTTTGACCCTTCACCCGTAGCTACCAGGCTTTCTCCTTCCATCTTCACAGCTACACTTACTCTTTGCATTGCAATACAATGGGTGAAACTCCAGGACATCTCATCTCTCTCACCATAGGAAGAAACCAAAATTCTCAGCCATTCTGAAGAAGCTGCTATTATTTGAGCAGGTTACGGACAAAATAACTTAGGAAAAAACTGGCACAGAAATTACAAAATGCACAATGGTTTTAAAAAGTCATTACTCGTACCACATAAGCTATCATCTTGCACTTACAGAGTCATGTTATATCACATACAAGTATCAATTAACATTATCACCAAAAAGTACCGCGGTGCACGTTGAAATTGTGAAATGGATTTATGACTGTGGGCATGCAATACACATGGGCACATTACCAGTCCTGGATGCAAAGGCTGAGCTACGTGGTCTGTATTGAAGGAGAGAGCATATAGTTAAAATCTGCACGTAGAGTCTTGATTATTTCAACCATGAACTACTGACTGAAAATGCTTGGTCTCTACCCGGCTGATATGTAAGTAAAGCTGTGAGGAAACAGAGCAGTTTATGCAGCATTTCCCTTTGAATGGAAGTGATGGACGTAAGAAAGATTTAGACATTTTGCTCTAATAAAAACTGCTCACAGAATTGCAGAGATCCAGCTACCACACTGGTGGAAAAGGTAAAACTAAACAGGCACTTTGTTATTTATTATTAAATGGTCACTCTAAACGATTTTGTTAAAGTTGAAATAAGGGATGATTGTGCGACAAAAAATGTACATATGCTTATCTTAGTCATGCATGTCATCAAGTTATTGCTAACTTTCAAAAGTCAAAAGCTGATTCTAGAAATTGACATTCTTTAATATTTTCTGGTTTTTCTTAGGCTGCTGGGTTACAGAACACTATTTAGGTTTACAGGGCTAGTAATTGTCATTTTGAATTATTCACAAGTATGTGAAAGAACATAATGCAGAGTGCATCGTGTCTTTCAGAACCCAGGAAAACAGATATGGGTGCCAGTCCATAATTCCAAGCTTCCTAAAGAGTTTAGATTTTCCACTTTATTGTTCTCCTCCAAAGTTGTATATATTCATGTCTTAAGCCGCTCTGGGAGAAAGAGAATTCCTGACTGCAAAAAACATTTGTGAAGTGCAAAATACAGAATGCTTGATGATAAATTGCAGGATTTTATTTTTGTTTTCAATAAATACTATATGAGCATTATAGATAAATATATAGATAAAGCTAACAAGCCACTCAGGAGGAATTTACAGAATAAGTCGACTGGTTATGTTTTGCTATATGTCACTCTAAATGATGGCCTGTTATCCATTTGCCTTTTATCTTTCTATCTAGAATATGTGTGGCCCAATAAAAAAGAATAAATTTGTAAGATAAACAGCTCGCTTTGCAGATTTAAGAGTCTAATTTTCACTTTACACAAAATTGAATTTTTTCAAGGCAGCGAGACGATGGAGTTTACTCTAGCACTAATCCCTCTGAAAAAGCAAACTGAAAACAACAATGAAGCAAAGAAAGATGTGGGTGGTCTGAAGAGTTTTCTTTTAGATTTAAGTAGACATACAGTAGATAGCTCCAAAGGCTTTACTCCAACAGGGGCCTTACCTTGAAGAATTTTTCTTCCCACAGTGAAAGCATTCCTAAGACTTTAAAGCTGGGCTGAGGGGTTTTCTTTTGAATTCCTCTGCCTACAAAGCCCACCGAAGCACTGGAGGCCATCACTACCTGAATGAACAGCTTTACATCTAAGTCCTTTTATTTCCAACAATGAAAAGATATGTTTAAGGCTGTTGTCCCCATCAAACGCTACCCCAGTTTCGTCTTACTAAAGCCCTCTTTTAGCAAAGTGTACCTATTTGTCAAGGCACTTAAGTTTAAAACGTGCTTAGCCTTAAAATGCATTTATGTCTCACTGCTATCAAGTTTATTTTAACACTTTCTTAAAACAACACATGGAAAGTGAGGGAAACAAAATCACAAAACAGGAAAAGGATAAATAATTAGCACGGAAAGAGTTACGAGGCAAACAGATGAATGCAGGCTAAGGCAACAACAGTGTATGTGCAGAAACAAAAACATTCCACCTTACTTATTCTGCACCTCAGATGTGCCCCTCTCTCCTTTCAGATGTACCCCCTTTGAAGTACAAGCTCCCAGTTACGCTAAAGCACACAACACTTTGCTAATGTTTTACAGACCTGCACAACTAGGATAAGCCCCACCAAGTCCATCTAATTTATGATTTACTTGGGAACTGAGCAATGGTTTTCAGGCTGCTCAATTCTGAGGATAAAAGATCAGGAAGGAAAGAGAACAGTTACTTATCTTGCAGTCATTGTGGTTCATTGAGTTATGTGGTCTACATGATGCACGTGAGATAAGACTTCTTTTTTTACTACCTACTTCCATTACAGGCAGGTCTATGTCCTGAATGTCTTCCGGCCCATTCCTACCTTTCCTGATTCAACTGCAGGAAATAACAGAACCACGTATGAAATATTGTATAGGCGTACAAGCTAGATGTGATGCTTCCAAAGCTTGTATCTGAACTTACTTTCACTGAGCTTTCCTTTTGCTTCCCTCACAGCACGTACAGAACTGCAAAGAAACGTCCTCATTCATTTCTAAATGAGAAGCTGGTCTTTGTGCCATACCTTGGGTGACCGCAAAATGAAGTCAGTCTCAAGGCCAGAGGCTCACTTAGAGGCAGGCAGATCGCACCGACCCAAGAACGGCCATCCACTCACCTGCACTCTGGACCTTAAACTAACAAACAGTAAAAGCAACTATCTATGGTCAAACACACTTCACACCTTAACGGTGACAATCTCCTACCAAGGACACAGACACAACTGCCAGTGACTTTTCCTTGAAAAGCTGCATCCTCTGGCTGTGCACTTAAACATCCCATGTCCTAATGGGAAAAATGCAAGGAACACTTCAACGTCCATCATGGGACGCAGTAATAAGCTACATAACCAAAGGGCCAATTTGGTCAAAACGTTAACAAACCTGTTTGCCACACGGTCTGAAATGAAAATCAAGCAACCACACAGAATTACATAAAGAAAAAAGAAATTGAGATTTCCCCAGTTTTCTGCAAGATTGGTATACCTTTCTGGGATGAAATGATAAAGGTGATTAGAAAAGGACTAGTTGCTTTTGTAAAAAGAAGCATGTTTTCAGTTGGTCACTGATTTCAGTCATGTTAGCAGCACATTTTCAAAGGATCTTCTCCACGTGTCCTTTAAATTCTGGAAGAGAATTTATTTGCTGCATGTATGTGTGAGCACAAGGATTCACAAAGAGGCACTTTCATAATTGCAGTTCTCACACAGACTAAATTATCAGTGAAGTCAGTTGGAATTTGCCAATACAAGGATTGCCAAATTAGCCAAAAACAGGCAATCACGTGGAAAAGGTAATCAGCTCACAAAATAGGCAATCACACTTACAAATATGTGTTTGCTCTTGCGCATTTTTCAGGCATTATTAAAGAATCGTTTAAAAATATGTCCAGAAGCTTTTAAAGCTGCACATAATCCCACATTTTTTGTATATTTCAGAACTTCAAAATATTTGTAGTTGTTTAGAACTGCCTGCAAAGTTAATGAAACACGATGCAACATGAGGAGGCAATTTTTTCAAGATCTATAAACCACTTAGATAAGCCCACTTTGTATACAATTACCTTCGCAGGAAAAATTTTATTCTCAATTTAATGTCAAGAAGACAGTTAGAAGATATTCAACATTTTAATCCTGTCGCTGCTGTCATCATTACGCAAGTATGCCTGGACTCTGACCACCTCGTTCCCTGGAAAGCAGTAAAGTGTACACAAAAGTTTCTGGGAAAACATGCTTTACCTTTATTTCCTTAGAGAAAGCTTGAATAATACTGAAAACAGGGATACAATTAATGGTATTTTTTTCAGCTACCTGGAGTATCTTTAGTTAATACGCTTAGATGAAAACGGCCCAAACATTGGCCCAGTGCTCACAATTTGAAATTAGAATCCTTTTAGCAGATGTTCCTACACTTTCTGCTAGTGAAGTTCATGGCTTAAAATAAAAGTCTAATATTACTGAATATTACAGTTATATTTTAGGCCTCCGGAAAGATTTACTAATGTCTTAGGTCAGGAACAACTTGCTGTCTCTATTGTTTCATCAAGGATTTAGGTTTTAGAATGACCATATATGGGAATCTTAAACTGTCGAGCATTAATATGGATTGGCAGAGAATTTGTTTAAACAGAGAGCTATTTTAGACGAGAATTGGAAAGGAGGCCCACTAGTGAGAAAACAGCATTCGTATTGTTTGTATTATTAGAAATAAAGATTATACCAAAGGTTCCACTGGTAAATAAAGAGATACTGCTTCTGA